ATATTATTAGGATCAAAATAGATTTGGGGCAAAATACCCTTTTTCCGCCCAGATTTCTACTTCTGTCACAACTATCGTTTGCGATCCGCAGTCGACCGTGATGAACGAAGCGACGTTGCCACTCTACATGAAAATTAGGAGATATTAAATAAAATGTACAATTGAGAAAATGTACATGGGTAAGAAGTTAACCCTGGTCTTGAATTTCAGAAAGATAATACAAAAACTTTAAAATGGACTCACCCAAGATTTCTACACATAAGCTCGAATAGCGTATAACTTAACACCTCACGGTTGGAAGTTCTTTTACTGAAAAATCCTTTAGACCCTTCCTTCCACCTCCTTGCATCGCTACAATTTCGTGTCCTTCGAGGAGTCTCATGGGCCCCGCACAATAACGACTCGACATAAGAACCATATCATTCAGCTCAATGTTTGAGAAATGCATCGTCACATTCCAAGCAAATTGTCAGAAACAAAACTTTACATTTACTAGTATGTATCACGTTTTGACGTTTTCCAAAATAACATACATTCTCAGAACAACAAACTGTCAAGAAAGGATCTTTGTTTTGATTGTTCTTGTGGTGTGCTACCAGCAAGAATTCAGATGACCATGAATTACTAATAGGCGACTTTTACGGACCAATCAGAAACAGCAAAGTAGTGCCTGCGTGGTTGCGATTCATCCTGATTGGGCACAGGTGATTGAGATTAATGTATTAGTGAGGAAGGATCATATCTTCAAATGAAACTACCATTTTCATAAAAAAACTAATTTGGAAAAAACATCTATTAGTTTAATTCAATGAAATGATACTTCCCCACTATACACTAATCTCACAAATCCAATCAGCTGTGTCCAATCAGGATGAATCACAACCACGCAGGCGCTACTTTGCTGTTTCTGATTGATCCTTAGAAATCACCTATTAGTAATTCATGGTCATCTGAATTCTTGCGTCCGAAACGGTCAGAAGCATGCGCAGTTTCACAGAACTGTATGATTTTTTTGGGTTCTGTGGACTTGTGCATGCTTCTGACGGTTTCGGATTGTTTATTTTCTGAACGCGAACAATCCTAGTTAGTACTGTCAAAGGTCACAGCAAAGAGGAAATCTATGGTCACAGATACTACTGTTCTGAGAAATGATGTTGACAGATCATATGATAATAGTTTTGTTTGTGTGGTTGCTGGTTTGTAAAATAATTGAAACGTAAAATAAAAAATAAAATAATTGGATGTTGTGTCTTGTGTCGTGATAATCGTGATATGGTCGTGATCGTGATTTTCAATGTGAGATTGCCAGGAAGGATATGTCGTCGTCGAGTCGTTTTCGATGGTTCAAGTGCGAATATGAACCAACAAGAACACAGGACGATATTAGTCTGGAATGGACTCGATATTAGTATTTGTTTGCTCTCGGGAGTTTTGCTGTTCGAGCAGGTATGAGAAAATTTACTAGGTGAGTCGATTTTCAACTTTGTGTATGTTGTGTACCTATTTATTGTCTGCTAATTTTGTATCTACCCGCTGGAGCCTTATTTTCGAATTGAAGGAAGGGGGACGTTCTATCATTCCCCTCATGTTTCTCTCCGTCTCTCGTGATCCATGGAAATAATCACCCCACAGTTCTCTCAGTAAACTTTAAAAAATGAGGCTCCTGTACATATTACATTCACCTCTAGTCTCCATAACCCATTCCAATTCATATTCATTCTGTGACAAATTTTTATCAGGATATTCGTCTCTGAAACAATCTGGCATCACTGTTTTGTTTTGACGTTAGTGAATGACGAATTGGGGATTCCCTGGGATTCCGCAGATTTCACTTGCTTCCCAGTGGCGTACTCGGATTTCGAAGCATTTTATGTTCAATTTTCAAAATGAAATTTCTCGTTAATGTGAAGACTTAGGAAAAATCAAATATTTTAGTAATTTTTGTTAGACTCTCTCATATATATGTCTTCAATATATGCACTCATTTTAAAATCAGCCTGTATAGTTCCATCTTTATTCATTTCTGGTGATAAACACTAGATTTCTGGCATTTGTTGTTTTGTAGGTTATATTGAGGACATTGGCGTATCATACGTAATTTCACTTGTAATTTCTTATTCAACTTTACATATTATATAATGATGATGAGAATTTTCGAGTTTTCAACTCCAGCATAATCTTTGTGAGGCAGTGAGCAAATTTTCCTGAAAGTTCAATACGTTTTACCGAATGGGACTGGTCTTGGGCAGTACCTATCAATAAGTAATTTTGATTTCAGACTAAGCCTTATGGTTGAGAAATGGTGGAAAATGTTATGTAGGTATTTGAACTAATGTGCTCATATCTCATGTGTGCTGTATATTTCATTGTTTGGGAACCATTTTTGCAGTTTTTCACAATCACTTGATATTTCCTGAATGTAGGTATAATTTTTTAAACGGTAGGTCATATGCCTTCTTTAATCCTCCGTTTTAATCAA